TTCCCCCTGGCCACATTCCCCACTTCCGCAGGGGAGCGGCACACCACCGGCCGGCTCTTCTCGGGGGCTGCACAGGCGTTCCCCTTAGATGTTCCCCTTAGATGTTCCTGGTGCATGCCGTCTCTCTCCTCCTTTATAGTCCTCCTCCGCCAATCCCAACTCAGCTGCCCACACGCCGAGTACGCTGCTCTCCAATCAGGAGCAAGTCCTACAGTTTATTGGTTGAACTGGAGGCAGCTGTGCGGAAGCTGTTTACTTCTCTCCCAGCGCCATATTGTGGGAGAGCAGATGCATAGAATAAGTCTTAATTCCAGTAACTCAGTCCAGTCCGGGCTGCTCCCCACACTCTCTCTCTCTCTCTCACACACACACACACACACACACACACTCACAATGAAATAAAGGAATGCTTATGACAATGACAGACCTCAAGTCTGCAAGTGGTCACCCGGTCACAGCTGGTATTCATAAGCACCTTCGTCCACCTTCCATTCTGTGTTTTGATTCTTTTCAGGCGCCGTCTCAGCTTGTCTTGGTTCTTTACCTGGTAGAGTGACACAAACCTTCATTCCAAAAGGGCCTGGACCATCAGCAGTCCTGCTGGGATCGGGTTCTTAGGATTTTGCCATTGATCTTAATCACATCCTGCTTGATTAAGTGAGTGAGTGCTACAGCATGGCGGCACTCAGCAATGCCTGGGGGACCACGTATTCTCCAGATGCTGTCTTCCTCGCCTCCACGGAGAAGCGTCAGCCCCATCTCCTGCGGGGAGTCACGAGCAGTCGCCCCGCCAGCACAGTGACTTTCTTCTTTGCCTGTCGACTCTGAGGCCTGAGGCGTCAGAAGTGGCCAGGGCATCGTAACTTTCAGCTCCGAGGACCCGTTGCTGTACCTTCTGATGGATGCATTCCTCCCTTTGGATCTAAGACCTCCAGGCCAGCAGAGCACAAGGTCATGGGAATAGGAAGCGGAGGTTTTGCGAGTGGATCACTAACGGCAATAGTGACAGATGCCGCTCCCATTTCCACCCATTGATTCCAGGCCTCATGGATCCCGGCTATGAGACAAAGAGTATTGTATGTGGGACACTGATTCAGAGCCCGTGCAGCCTCTGGTGAGCCCAGCCCCAGTACTGCAAGGTACTGCAATCTAGCTAACACGGTAACCGAGTCTTCCAAAGCTCATTCCACTGCCCTGTCAAGACAGCTGCACAGGATGACGGGTAACATGGTGAGACCAGCGAATGCCATGAGTATGGGCCTATTGCCGCTTTCTTTTGCTGTGAAGTGAGCCCCTTGATTACAACCAATGCAGTGTGGAATACTGGGCTGGCAGACGGGACATTTTTTAAATCCACAGTTGGTAGTTTTGGCAGAAGCTCTGAGCACAGGGATGGCAGAGCTGTACCCAGATTGTCTCTTACAGTAGGAACAAACACTGGCCCTTCTGGGATGAACCACCTGCCTCCAGGGAGCTGGCTGATCCCCTGGGGGTGGGGATGAGGGCAGATCAGAAGTCATTGCTGGTTCCTATGGCTGACAGCCCAACACTCAGCACTGGCCAGAGCCAGGGTGGCCTTAGTGAGTACCAGGCCATGCTGCTGAGGCCATGTATAACCCCCCTCTCTGCCACCATGGTCACTTTGTTCCTAAGCCCACTGGGCAATGGCGGAGGTGGCTGGGGAAAGAGGCCGACCGGCATCCCCAGAATGGGTCTCCTTATCTACTGACTTACCATAATTCTCCTGCTTTTGATGAGCATCACATGGGGCACAAATATCCTCACGCTGTCACTCACTCAGAGGTCTGCCCACATAGCTCTTCCCCAAATTTTCCCATCACTAGTTTTCCAGATATGTTTCTTCAAAGTCCCTGACAACCCAGCCAAACTTTGGCCCTAGCCCACGACAATGCATCTGGCCGTTTCTTCCTCCAAATAAAGTGAACAACGGGTCAGCACTTGAAGTTCTGCCCGCTGAGAGGATTTAGAGGATTTCCCCTTCTCTGAGCTCCTTCAAGAAAGCCCTGAACAGGGGCTGGCCACGTCCAGGTAGCGCCTGAATATCACGTAGACTCGTCTGGAAGGCCTGAGTCACCTCTTCTGTAGTTCCCGTGAGGTCACAGGTGCAGGTTGAGAGCGGAAGGTGGATTCCTGGGCCACTTCTTCATATCACTGACTTGTGCCTTCAGGACTTGCTTAGACCCCATCACATGGGCACCGGTTCCATCTGATGATGAGCATTGCCGTGCATACTCAGTTTTAGGGCTTGGTGGGGCAGAGAACACCGAGGTCATGACGGCCAGTAGAGGCCACACGGTAACTTAGCAGCCTATGATCAAGTATTTGGTCTCTACTAAGGCCCAGCAGCAGATCAAGAGCCATTTCTCAAAAGGAGAGTAGTTATTAGGGCCCGCGTCGGATGTAGCAGGTAGAGCTGCCACCTGCAACTCTGGTATCCATAGGGGTGCCGGTTTGTATCCTGGGTGCTCCACTCCTGATCCAGCTCTCTGCTAATGGCCTAGGAAAGCAGTGAAATTGGTCCAATTGCTTGGGCCCCTGCCACCCACATGGGAAACCAGAATGAAGCTCTTGGCTCCTGGCTTCAGCATGGCCCAGCCTTAGATGCTATGGCGATTTGGGAAGTGAATCAGCAGGTGTGTGGGGAGCAACTGGGAGCAACTCGGACTAGACTAAGTTACTGGAATTAAGACTTATTCTATGCATCTGCTTTCCCACAATATGGCGCTGAGAAGGGAAACAGCTTCTACACAGCTGCCTCCAGTTCAACCAATAAACTGTGGGACCTGCTCCTGATTGGAGGAGAGCAGCGTACTCGGTGTGTGGGTAGCAGAGTTGGGATTGGTGGAAGAGGACTATAAAGGAGGAGAGAGACGGCATGCACCAGGAACATCTAAGGGGAACACCTGTGCAGCCCCCGAGAGAGCCGGCCGGCGGTGTGCCGCTCCCCCGCGGAAGTGGGGAATGTGGCAGGGGGAACCGCCCTTCCACGGAGGTGGAAGGGATGGTAGCCAACCCGGGAAGGACCAGCAGCCAACCCGGGAAGGGTCGGTAGCCAACCCGGGAAGAACCAGCAGCAAACCCGGGGAGGGCCGAGCAGACAGAACAGCGCAGGGTCCTGTGTCGTTCCTCCACGAAGAGGGGGAGCGACATAATGGTGCCGTGACTCGGATATGAAGCCTAGGCAGGGCTTAGTGTCGTTCCTCCATGAAGAGGGGGAGCGACATAATGGTGCCGTGACTCAGATTAGGAAACTTAGGAGGGAAGAAACGGGAAGAAGTGGGAAAATATCGGAGAGAGAGACTAGCAAACAGCCTAGGGAAAGCCGGACGAGAAAGGTGCCGGAAGAAGCTATTGAAAGCCTAGGCATAGACTCGGATACGGACTGTGGGAAAGAAGTTAGGATTTAAAGTGAAAGCTAGAAGAAACTTAGACTCAGATACGGACTGCAGGTTGAAAGTGAAAGTGAAACCTATAAGAAACTTAGACTTGGATACGGACTGTGGGGAGAGGCCAGGAGAAATGAGGGAGGAATATTGTTGGAAAAAAACTTAGGGAAACATACCGGGTAGAGAAAAATGTTAGGGAGGATGAAGCCGCGAGTGCAGGCCAAGGCGGAAATGGAAGCCATCTTGGAATTCTTCAAGTCAGCCCGGGGAGCAAGAGGCGAAGATCTGGAACCAGAGGCAGAGACGTGGGCCCCCAGGTTGGAATTCGCCAGGTTAGTCCGGGCAACTTGGACTGAATGCCGGTGGTGGCGGAAACGTGAGCTGGGGCTGTGTGACTCGCGGAAGCTGCCGTGTGCAGAGAGAGCACAGGGCGTGAATAGATAGGGAACGCGGGGCTGGCGCGAGGCAGTGGTACGGACGCGAAGGGCGTGGAGACCACGGAGCGCGCGAAGCCGAGCCGCGCAGAGCTGGGAGCCCGCCGGCGGGGCGAGGCACCGGCAAGCCGCGCAGAGCCGTGAAGCTGCCGCGGGGCGGCGAGGCGCCGAGCAGCTGCCTCGGGGCGGGCGCCGGGAAGCCGCAGGGATAAGAGAAACAGAAGTTTAGAAGTAAAATGAGAGAAATAGGAATGCCCGGAGATAGAGAAATAGAGAAAGGCCTCCCCACAACACAGCAATGAGAGAGCTTGGATTCGGTCTGCCTGATTAGGGCGATAAGCACCAGCAGGCAGTTCGACCAGAGTATGAGCTGCAGGTCACCGAAGATAGGCACGAATCAACACCAATAAGTCTCCCCACAATATGGCAATGAGAAGGCTTGGATTCGGTTTGCCTGATTGCTAGGGCTTGTAAGCACCTGCAGGCAGAGCAGAGCATGCGCTGCAGGGCACCGAACACAGGCACGCATCAGCGCCTAAAAACCTCCTCACAACATGGCGAAGAGAGGACCCGGATTCGGTTTGCCTGATTGATAGGACTTGTAAGAACCTGTGGGCAACTCTAGCAAGCAGAGCAGAGTGTGTGCCGTGGGGCACCGAAGACAGGCGCGTATCAAAGCCAAAAATAAAAAGAAAGGGGGATCTGTGGGGAGCAACTGGGAGCAACTCGGACTAGACTAAGTTACTGGAATTAAGACTTATTCTATGCATCTGCTTTCCCACAATATGGCGCTGAGAAGGGAAACAGCTTCTACACAGCTGCCTCCAGTTCAACCAATAAACTGTGGGACCTGCTCCTGATTGGAGGAGAGCAGCGTACTCGGTGTGTGGGTAGCAGAGTTGGGATTGGTGGAAGAGGACTATAAAGGAGGAGAGAGACGGCATGCACCAGGAACATCTAAGGGGAACACCTGTGCAGCCCCCGAGAGAGCCGGCCGGCGGTGTGCCGCTCCCCCGCGGAAGTGGGGAATGTGGCAGGGGGAACCGCCCTTCCACGGAGGTGGAAGGGATGGTAGCCAACCCGGGAAGGACCAGCAGCCAACCCGGGAAGGGTCGGTAGCCAACCCGGGAAGAACCAGCAGCAAACCCGGGGAGGGCCGAGCAGACAGAACAGCGCAGGGTCCTGTGTCGTTCCTCCACGAAGACGGGGAGCGACATAATGGTGCCGTGACTCGGATATGAAGCCTAGGCAGGGCTTAGTGTCGTTCCTCCATGAAGAGGGGGAGCGACACAGGTGGAAGATTCTCTCTCTCTCTTGCTCACTCGCTCACTCTCTCACTCGCTCGCTCTCTTGTTCTCTATCTCTGTCTCTCCCACTCTATATATAACTCTGACTTCCAAAATAAAAGGATAAATCTTAAAACAAAACAAAACACAGACTAATCACCTGTAATAATGGCAGGGCCTTGTTCCCAAATTCTGAAGGCCCTCACCAGGACCCACCCATAGGGGCCTGTGTAAGGGCCATACAGCATCCCTGTCTGCCACAGACACGTGAACTGGCTATGCTGGATTCTGTGGCCCTGGTGGCAGGGTCGCTGGTACAGCACCTGGATCTGCTTCTGAGCCCAATCCTGCTCCGCCTCTCACTCAAAGCCAGCAGCTTCTCAGGTCTCCCAGTAAATGGGCTGGAATGACAGAAAGGAGGAAGATGTTGCCTCCCAAACCTAAGGAGGTTCAACATGAGCTGGACCCAACCCCCGACAGCTCTCCCTCATCTCTTCCGGCTCTCTGTCCACGCTGCTGGAGCCACACCATCTCCTTGTCCTTCCCAGACAGCTCAGCTCTGTTGCAGACTCTAGGCCTTGGCCGTCTCTGTTCCTGCTGCCTGGAATGTTCTTTCCTCCAATACACAATGGGTCACCAACGCCTCTCCAGTTCTCACCTGAGCGTCATCCTCACCTGTGGCCTGCAAGGCACAGTCTGATACCTGCAACCCCAACTTGTCTTTTACTTCCAAGTGGCCACTCAGCTTTCATTTTTCTCCCTAACACCTTTCACATTCTAACGATCACATGACCTACTTACTGGGCTCACGGACTGTCTCTGGGAACTGGGCTTCTGCAAGTCAGGATTCTCATCTGTTCCATTCAGTTTGGAGTGCTCAGTGCACAATACCTGTGCATTGTCCACTGGTCCATTAAGCACTTGATAAATATTCCTTAAAGGAATACACACAAGACTCAAGCCCAGGGTGAGGACCCAGGGTATGAATTGAAAGCCCTAACGCGCTTAGAAGCTAAGCAGGTCAATTGGAAGAAAATTGGAAGTGAGCTGTGTCAGAGAGTCTGTGCCCACTGAACGGTCAGATCCAGCTGAGGGCTGCTGAGAGAGGAACCAGATCTTCACTTTTTTTTTTATAAGAGAAACCACAATATTTTCACGTAAAATCTCAGCATTTGGTTATTAATGACCAGGCCTCTCTGACCTAACAGGTCCATGCCAATAGCCTGTCCCTACAGAGCTGATGGCCAAAGCCAGAAGTTCTTCTAGACTTGCCATTCTGCCCAAGCAGAGGACTTCAGCATAACATATGAGCCTATGGGGCTGACGCAGTGGCGTAGTGGGTAAAGCCACCGTCTGCAGTGCCGACTTCCCATATGGGCGCCGGTTCAAGTCCCGGCTGCTCCACCTTCCAATTCAGCTCTCTGCTATGGCCTGGGAAAGCAGTAGAAGATGGCCCAAGTCCTTGGGCCCCTGCACCCACGTGGGAGACCTGGAAGAAGCTCCTGGCTCCTGGCTTCGGATCAGGTGCCGCTCCAGCCATTGCAGCCAATTGGGGAGTGAACTAGCAGATGGAAGATCGATCTCTCTCTCTTTCTCTCTCTCTGTAACTCTGACTTTCAAATAAATAAATAAATCTTAAAAACAAAAACATATGAGCCCAAGGAAGCCCCGCAAGGTCCCCCAAGAGCAGCAGGAGTGTAGGACACTCTTCTCCAGGCTGCGCGTGACCTGTATTCCATGAGCACCCTGTCAGGCAGGCACAGAAACCTGACCCAACCTTCTCCCAAACTCTTCACTTGGCGTCTGGAAGCCGATGACCACCTTGGACTCACTAAGCCTTTAGTTGATCTCTGATCCTTTGGATGAGGGCAGGCAGGGAAGAAGCCTCAGAGGGGGACACAGAACTTCCTGCGAGTGAGGAGCTGAACAATTCAGTGGAAGAACACAGAAGATTTGGCCCCACTCGTGCCCTGAGCAGAAGTCACGTCATTTATGCATAAGCACTGTTGGGCAACATATACTATCGGCTAAAAGTACTGATTTCTGTAAAAGCGAGATAATAATCCTACTTACCTCCTAGCATGGTGACAGCAAGCAAATAAATGAATACATTTAAAGTACCTGACAATTGGGAAGTGCTTAATTAGTGTTGAGCATTATAATCATTACTAGTGTAATTATATTCAAACAGCTTTCATAACAGAACCCATCATCTCTTAATCTTCCATCTTGATGCGTTTAACCTTATCCTCATAAACACACAAAAATACAGTTGTCACTATCCCTTACAATAATAGATGAAAAGAATCCTCAACAAATACTAACAATTCGAACCCAAAGCTGTTGTTAAAAAGTGTAATATATCTATCAGTCAAGGGAGATTTACCCTAGAAATGTAAAGTTGGTTCAATTATTGAAAATCAGGGTGGGCATTTGGAGCAGCCCTTAAGTCACTTCTTCGCATGCCCACATCCTAGATTGGAGTCTCAGCTCCTCTGCTTCCAATTCCTGGTAAATGGGTAAATGCACACCCTGGGAGGCAGCAGGTGATGGCTCAAGTCCTTGAGTCCCTGCTAAACACATGGGAGACACGCACTGAGTTCTGGGCTCCTGGCTTTTGCCTGGCCCAGCCCTCAACATTGTGGGCATATGGAGAGTGAAACAGAAGACACAGGACAACTGTCTGCCTTTCTGTCTGTCTGTCTCTTTCAAATTAAAGAAAGTGAAAATCAATAAATAAGCTTTGAAAATCAGTCAATTTAATTCATTGCACTAAAAGACTGAAGACAGGGCCTACATAATTATCTCAGATTCAGAAAAAAGCATTCACAAATTCAACATTCCCATCTTTTTGATAATAGTCTTTCTAACAGGGGTGAGGAGATACCTCCTGGTTTTGATTTGCATTTCCCCAGTGGCTAGTGATATCGAGCCCTTTTCCATATATTTGCTGACCATTTGTATTTCCTCTTTTGAGAACTGTCTATTCAGGCCTGTTCTCCATTCATTCACACAAAACTCCCAGTAAACTAGGGGTAGAAGGCAAGGAGCATCCTTAACCTGGTAAACAGCATCTACAAAAAACCAACAGCTAACATATTTAATGGGGAAAGATTAATGATTTTCCCCCTGTAAGACTGGGAGAAAGATACAGAGCTCAATGTCTTCTCTTTACTGTCCTTGTCATCACACTGGAAGTGTAGCCAGTGCAATACAGAGAGGAAAAAAAAAAAAAAACATGAAGCATACATGCAAAATAAAATCATTTCTACTCACAGAAGATGTGATTATTCATACAGGAAATCCCAAGGGATCTGCAAAAAATGCAACCAAAATGAGAAGTGAGTTTAGTAAGGTTGCAGGATACAGTCAGTACTTTTCAAAATCAATGATATATCGGAATACCGGCAGTGATCAAATAGAAATTAAACAGCAACTGCTTGGGCCCCTGCAGCCAATGTGCAAGACACAGCTGGAGTTCCTGACTCCTGGCTTTGCCTGGCTGAGCTCTAGATGACCCAGTGGATGGAAGAGATTTCTCTCTCTGTGTGTCTGTCTGTCTCGCTCTCTCTCTCTCTCATACACCTTTCAAATAAATGCATACATATTTTTCTAAAAAGAAAGAACTCTAAAGCTGTGCTTTCTGCTGCCTCTGCCTCATCTTTCCCCAGAATCGCTGTGAAGGAAGAAAGCCATTCAGGCTGAGTGAGGGTGAAGCCAACCTGGCTCACCCAAAATGGGAAGCAGAAGGAAAGGCCTGTGGTTTTCTGGTCCAGCGAACATTTGTGCTTCTCATGGGGATTCGGCGCATGTGGGAGAGCTGGAGTCACTAGAACTCAGAGATGAAATGAAATGGAAGCTCGACGCAAACCATGAACTCGTTCCAGCAAGTGCATTTGGGAGGGACACAAAGATTAAGAACAAACAAAAAGGTGTCAGGAACAAGGAGATCTGCACTGGACACTATTTCAAATATTGAATTTAAGCTCCACTATGCCGTCTCCTCCCCTCAAAGGTGGGATAATACATAAGGAAAAATAGAAACAAGAGTGCTGTACGTGCTGACAGTGGTGTGGCAGTAATGCTAGAAGGGAATAGATGAGGTGGGGCTGCGAGTCTGCTCGGAGCTTCAGGGTGTCTAGAGCTATGTTTCTAACGGCAGGATTTGTCTAAGTGCACACATGGATACCGACATGTGCACACATTCCTTCACACACACACACACACGTCCATCCTGACCCCTGCTCCCCTCCCACATTTCTTCCATTCATAGCCTGGAGCAGTGGGGAACAAAGGGTGAAGAATGGCTGACAGCTATTCGTTTATTCATTCATTGAGCCAGCATCCATTAAGCACCAACTTGGCCTTGGCCGTGCCAAGTGCTCCCTGGGTGCTAGAGAGACGCAGATGACCACATCCGCTTGCAAAGAACTCTGCACATAGCAGGAAGAACCAACAAAACCGTCAGCGATCACATCACTGAGAGAACAAGGCTAAACTAGTGGTGAGCACAAGTACTCCAGGAGCTTGGGGGCAGGGAACGTAACAACCTGCATGGTCACATGAGGAGGACTTCAGCCAATTCTTGATGGACAGGAGTCAGTTAACCTGCAGTAGACTCGCCCACAAGTAGGGGAGCATATAAATTCAAGAAAGTCAAGGCAGAACCTGTGCAGAACCCCTTCCTGTCCGCAACCTCCATTCATAACTGTATTAATTCACACCCTCTCATAATTGTGTAGACCACACCACACACAACTGACCAAGCTCATAAGCATAACACCAAGAGCAGGTTTTGGAGTAGCAAACACTTAAGGAGAGAAACCACATTATGCAATACTAATGCTCCCTACCCCACAGGTGCCTGTGGCTGGAAGATTAAGGGCCTGGGCTTTGGAGTTACATCAGTCTAAGTTCAAATCCTACCTCTGCCACTTTGTAGCTTTGAAACTTTTGTGAGTTATTTTTGCTTTATGGGTCTCAGTTACCTCGTCTGTAAAATGGGGGAAATGGGAGCCCTGTGAAGAGACAGCGAAGTATACAGACACAGATACTGTGGGAATTCTATATTAACATTCACCAAATGTTAACTGAGACCATTTATGAAACATTCCCTTGCTATCTGGTGTTACAATGGTAGAGGGAAAGTCCTCTTTTTTCCCCTCAAGGTGTCTTCCTTAGCCCTGCCACGAAAGAGTTGGGGAATCTAGGCTCTATCCGCTTTCTTGAATCGTAGTAGGAAACTACCAAACCATACTGCAACCACTGAATGATCATGGCACCCTGCTGCTGCCTTCATTACCCTCTGACAAAGTCCACACAGAAGTCAGCCTGGCTCTCCCAGGGGAATGCCAGAGTCAGCCGTGGGCCCACTATGGTGAAAGAGCATTGGTCCGAGCCCTGATCTGTCACAAAGGGTTAGGGATGTCACCCAGGGTCACCTGCCCTCTGGGCTTCAGTATCCTCCTCTATAAACTAGGAAGCTGATCCAGGTGGAGTCTACAAGCTCCGTGCCATTCTTCAAGTCCTGCTGGGGAGAGGCAGACACTGACCAGCCATTTGCTTCGCCTTAAGGAGCTCAACGTCTGAGGGGTCAAACCAGAAACAAATCCATCAAGATTAAGCCATGGCACAAAACAAGATGTGCCTGTGTGCAAAGGAGACAGGGCTTGGGAGTGCGCACATCACCACTGGGTTGAGAGACCACCACTCTGAGACGGGGTGGTCTAGAAGAGCTCACAGCAAGAGGCTGACCCAGGAGCCTGTCTTAAACGGTAGAGGCTCTGAGATCAGGGCAGGAGGGCACTGGGCAAATGCCAACCTTCGCCCACTTATGCTCCTCTTCTGAGACAGTACAAGAGCCCACACTGTCCCTCAGTCTTCTGGACAACTGGCAGATTCTTTTTTTTTTTCTTTTTGACAGGCAGAGTGGAGAGTGGAGAGTGGAGAGTGGAGAGTGAGAGTGAGAGAGAGAGAGAGACCAAGAGAAAGGTCTTCCTTTGCCGTTGGTTCACCCTCCAATGGCCGCCACAGCTGGTGCGCTGCAGCCTGCGCACCACGTTGATCCGATGGCAGGAGCCAGGTGCTTATCCTGGTCTCCCATGGGGTGCAGGGCCCAAGCACTTGGGCCATCCTCCACTGCATTCCCTGGTCACAGCAGAGAGCTGGCCTGGAAGAGGGGCAACCGGGACAGAATCCGGTGCCCCGACCGGGACTAGAACCCGGTGTGCCGGCGCCACTAGGTGGAGGATTAGCCTATTGAGCCACGGCACTGGCCAACTGGCAGATTTTAAGGAAGGGACTGACTTCCATAACTCAGACCTCTTCCTCCGTGAAGCCTTCCCTGGCTCCTCCTTTATACTCCCATGGCCCACATGCCCACAACTTGCATGATGTGTAGGGTTGTATTTGAAGACAGACGCCATTTCTTTCTTCCTTTACTTTCCTTTTTAAAGGATTTTATTTCTTTATCTGAAAGGTAGAGAGGCAGAGATCTTCCACCTACTGGTTCACTTCTCAAATGGCCACAGCAGCCAGATCTGAGCTAGGCTGAAGCCAGGAGCCAGGAACTCCCACCCCAGTCTCTCACATGGGTGGCAGGGGCCCAAGTACTTGAGCCATCCTCTGCTGCCTTCCCAGGAACATCTGCAGGAAGCTGAACCAGAAGCAGAACTAGGACTTGAACCAGCACTTGGTATGGGATGCCAGCATTGTAAGTAGCAGCTGCACTCGCTCTGCCACACCACCAGCCCTGCAAGGAACTATTCCTTACTCATCTGTTTGTCCCCAGAATCTAGTTACGTGGTAAGGTGTCATCACACTGCGATGGGGAGAGAGAAAAAGAAAATACGATAGAGTATTACATTTTCCTTTGTCCCTGCAAATCCTCCCCTACCAAGAAAATTCTAACTCTGATTATTTACCATCTCCATTTTCTTTGCTCTGAGACATTTTAAATCTTTTAGTTTAGTTCCTGGAAGTTATTACATAGGCCAGGATAATTGGTGGTGCAAGAATATAAGAAATGGGAGTAAATGAATGTTTTCATTAGAGAAAGAGCTAGTAGGAGACAAGAAAAGCAGAGGTCCCAGAGAGGAGGAGGAGGATGACAGAGCCAAGAGCCACATGGGTTGGGTTTTTGCAAAAGTTTTGGTAGAAAGCTGAGAACAATTGTTAAAGAAAAAAAGGGTGTCTGGGGGGAATTGTGAAGTTTGGGAGATATTGAAAAATGATAGAAATGGCAAATGAGGATTTCAAGAAATATTGCTGAGACTTGTGAATTGGATCTCCTATTATATTCTTCAAAAGGTTCCAGTAGAAATCGAAGTAGATTTTAAGAACTGTTGGTTGGTAAACTGCTCCGTTGGTTGTGATGCCGTGGGACCCCAGCTCGCCTCTGCTATGGGTTGAACAGGACTTGGCATCCCAAATGCATGCAGATGTTTGAACTCCAAAGTCTTATGTTAACAGTTAGTAGATGAATGTTAATGGTTGGAGGTTTAGGGTGGAGGATCTAATCATGGCTGTGAGGGGGTGGAGCCAGTGGGAGGTCTTTGGGGACTTGTCCTTGGAAGGTAGTGCTCCCGAGAGGGTGGGTTATTTGAGAGGCTTTGGCCCAGCTTCTCTCTGCTTCCTGGCTCGCTGTGTGATCGTCCCTCCACTGGATGCCAGACTAATGGGACCATCAAATCTTGGTCTTTGAACCTCCAACTGCAATCTGAAAGAGACGTTTTCCTTCCCAAGAACTTTCCCTCCGCTATTGTAGTTAAAGGAATGAAGAGCTGACTAATACAACCTGTTGAGACAATCTTACATAAAGGAGCACTGTTCAGGAACTCTGGGGTACAGTGGGCTTCCGTTCACCCACAAGGCTCCAACTGTCTGCCAGGCACCGTTTAAGAACTTGGACTCTGCAGCTAAATTTACTGAGTTCCAGTGTCCTACTGGCTGAGTGATTCAGGCGAGTTACTTAACCTCTCTGAACCTCTATTTCATTATTTATTAAAGGGATAATTATGATATCTGATAGGGTTCACATGCAGATTATTTAAGTTATTATATAAAAAGCTCTTAAGACAAGTCTTGATATACAGCAATCACTCAGTATACATTCATTTTTTATGGTGTGTGGTTGTCAGGATTATTCTAGTACAGTGTACATGAACACAGGACCCTACACATTTCTTGAGATTCTTGCTCACCAATCAAGCCACAACACTTTGTTCCTGTGCCAGTATTGGCCATCCTTCCAGGCCTACCTCAAACTTCATTTCTGTCTAAATGCCTTAGCCGTGTTTCCTAAAGCACCCGTTGA